TTTTTTTTTTTTTTTTTTTTAAACCAATCCACATTTATTACTCATTCAAAGGATGAGGCCGGGGACCTCACAAATCCACCGGGTGTTAGGGGCTGATCCCACCACTACACTACAGCCCAGTTACACTGTAGTTTTGGGATCCCACAGCGTGTTACACTGTAGTTTCGGGATCCCACCACTACACTACGGTTGTGAAGTTCGCCGAAATATTTTGCGGCTATTTTGTGTCGGAGTGTCGTGGCAGCACGCCCGCGAAGGGCTCGAGCAAAGTTACTACAATTTTTGTGTAGACGGTTTGGCACAAGGGCCGCGAAAAAGAGGGAACATTTTTTTTTTCTTTTTTTTCTTTCTCGTTTCTCCGTTTGCAGCATCAGGATTGGCCGAAGCCCATGGAAAGTCGCCGCGGGTCCAGGAAAACCACCGAGGAAGTCGCTGTCGTCGGATCCGCTTTCTGTAGCCGGGCCCGTAGCTGACGCTGACACCCTTGTAGTGCTTTTTCGTCACTACTTGTGTAGTGTAGTGGTGGGATCAGACCCTTATCCCGGCAGCTTCAGCCCGTTTAGCTTAAGAGAGGGACCCCACAGCGGCGCGTAAAATTTTTGGAATTCCCACGCGTGGCGGATGTCATCCGCCGCCATCGGACAGTCTCATCCGCATGGGATCCCACAGCGTCCACATTGCAAGGGGGGTCCGCAGAGGTAGTCTTCCTGAAAAGGAAACAGAGGAGAAACTTTCCTTTTCAGGATAGTATTTTCGAAAGACCCGTGCAGGTGGTGTGGTCCAAGGACAGTTCGTGGTCTGTCCGTGTGGCCCTTCTGCGAGACGACGGGTGACACCTCGTGGACAAGCGACAAGCGAAATGCAAGAGGCGTCGCACAGCCCCGGAGCCTTCCATATGCAAAGTGGCCCGCTCCCCTTCGCGTTTTGGTGTAGAGCTGTTGGCGATGTCCCACTGTGTGGGGTAGGCTGGGCAGCAGTGGCGGTGCCAACGGCTGGGTTCCATGTGCGCTGGAGGGAAAAAAACAAGTGTCCCACGCGGTAGTCTTCACAGGGCACGCGGGACATCTCTGCGAAGGTGCGGCCGTGGAGTCGGTGATACCCATCCGCCATAGCTTGCACACCAGCAAGAACGTCTGTGCGGTGACGTCTGCCGTGACGTCTGTGCCGAAATATTCGTCGTTTTTGTATCGTTTCTGTTGGAGGTGGCTTGGCATGGCCGAGGGTGATGGTTCCATGGCCATGGATTGGGAAGGAGCAGGCGAAGTCGGGGAGGGGGGTGAAAGCGAGGACGTCCTCTTCACCATGGTCCTGACGGTGTTGGAGATGATCCGGCAGCGGAACAGGGCGGCGCTGTCGATTATCAACGCTGTTGCTGCAGCGTCGACGTCCTGCCCGGAATGGCGAATGTTGTCATGCTCCTGGCAGGAGGGTATGCGCATAGCGTGTCTCTGGTGTCTGCTGCTTACAGCTTCCTTGTGCAACGATGTCCGACCAGAAGGCGGTTCTGGGTGCTAGACAGGACAGGCGGGACATGGAAAGACCTCCAGCGGGTCGGTGACGCTCACGACAAGGTGTTTCGCAGATTCTGTCGGCTTCCAAGAACGCTGTTCCAGGAGATTGTTGCCCGCATCGGTCCCCATATCCAGCGGCAAACAACGAGTTGGAGACAACCATTACCTGCGGAGCAGAAGTTCGCATGCGCACTCATTCGATGGGCGATGGGAGGGTACTACAGACAGATGGGTCATGGGTTGGGGATGGGTTCGGCGAGCGCTTTGCGCAGCAATGAGGAGGTTGCTGATGCGATTATCCGAGAGTACGGCCACCTCGTTGCGTTCCCCCAAGGGCGGCGTCTGCAGGAAGTGTTGGATGCTTTTGAGGCGAAAGGCTTTCCTGGGTGTGTAGGTGCAATTGACTGCACCCACATGTACATTGAGAAGCCCAGGAACGAGCGGTCGGAATGCTACTACGACCGCACGAGACAATACTCCATTGTCGCTCAGGTAGTGTGTGACCACGAACACAGGATCCTTGATGTGTTCGTTGGCTGTCCGGGGTCTGTTCACGACTCCCGTGTCATCCGTTTGTCGAACTTGTACACAAACGCACAGGGCGGTCGGGGCATCTTTCATGAAGGTCACTCCTTCCTATTCGATGGAACCGTCGTGCGGCGTTATGTTTGGGCGATGGAGGTTATCCTTTGTTGCCATGGTTGATGACTCTCAAGGGAGGGGACAACCGTCCTCCAATGGAGGTGTGCTACGATGAGTGCCATACCGTGGCGAGGAGTCCGGTCGAACGAACGTTCGCGCTGCTGAAGGGTGTGTGGAGGAACTTCAGGAGGAGGAAAATAGGCAACATGACAACCATTCGCAAGGAGTTCATGGCATGTTGCATCCTCCACAACCGCATGTTGGACATGAGGATTGACATCGATCCGGACGACCTTGGCAGCAACTCGGATGGGGACGATGACTCTGATGGTGATGACGGACGGCCATGCAGGCGACGCCGTCGAGGCAGGAACAACGTCCAACATGATCGGCCATGCCCGTAAGACACACTTACGGCAACGCCGAGGGAAAGGTGGCAAAGGCGAGGCTCATGCGGCATGTTGAACACCATGTTCGGGTTCATGGTCGACCTGGTCCTGGTCCCTGTCCTTGGCACGGTTCGTAGTGCCGTCTCTAGAAGAGAGAGAGAGAGAGAGAGAGAGAGAGAGAGAGAGAGAGAGAGAGAGAGAGAGAGAGAGAGAGAGAGAGAGAGAGAGAGAGAGAGAGA